CTTATTCTTACTATGAGTAATATGGATTATTTTAAGTTTTGTGCTTTTTTTTGTAAATTGTAAATGAACGACCAAACGCGAAAAAGATGAAATAAGTAAATGCCATTGAGTTAGAAAACTAATGGAGGGAATCAAATGCTTGGCCAAGCGTAGACCACGGGAACCAAAAGTGGCCTCTAGCTGTGATTAAAGTACCACACCACTTCCGTTATCATTAGCGTCTCACTTCAGTGGCATAGAGATATAATTTTCTTTCCACTAATAGGAATAATAACAAAAAAAACGTATAGGAGTAAAATACATGCTCGTGGTAAAGTAAACAAAATAGACAAGGATGGGAAAGTATGCAGATTTATAGTCATTGATTACAAATCTAAATATACCTACATCGATGTGTTCCAGTACTATAATTAAGGCCAGTTTACTATAGCCACTACAACTTGACAATTCCCATTAAATTCACTGTGTTGATCAATAGCTACAATTGACTGGTTGGTCTCAGGTTCATTACAAGGGCAGAGAGATTCAATAATAATTTATTGTTTATTGGTCTCAAAATGTATCCGCACTCGTAAAAAAACTTACACCTGATATCCATATTATAAACTCACACGTTTAGCTGTAAAAACAAGTTTTGATAGTATACCTACTGCATATTTGATAAACATTTTCCGGTGCAACCTTTGGTTGCTTTGGTCGAAATCATAGTCAATGAAGCGTTGTGAGCACAAAAGCAAATTTCGAGAGCTGTTCTTGAGATATATTTACAAATGTTAGGTAACCATTTTGCTCGAAGTACTGGTTCGTTTGGAAAACTAAAAAACATAAACTAGGTTAGGTACCTACAACCTCGCCTACAACATGATAAATGACAGGTCTTACCGATGAAAGGAAATGCCCTGTTTCTTCCCTTTATGAGAAATTTTGCATGATACGCAGCTAATCATTCTCAATTCACAAAATTGCGTGTGATAAAAACACGATGCGGCAGTTAGTTATTTATATAAACCAGAGCACAAACCGATCCGAAATTATTAGGTACTTTAAAATGGCAAATTTAATAAAATTTGAATTTGGTGGAAAATTGACAGTGACAGGACCCGCGTTTTCATATGTCAAATAATGTCGGCCAAAATGTACCTTCACGGGAACCTATCCACGCGAGTGGCCTCTATCTGTGGCAACTTCCGTCTACAAAAATTCTTACCCCCTCTACCATTATATTCCCTCCATTAGTTTTCTATCTCAATGGCCACACCCCAACATAGTTCAAAAGGGCGTACCATCTATTACCATCACTTTCGGCACATTAATTACGTATAGCGCTATCCTTTATAGAGGTACCCTGAGCATGGAAGACAAGATTCGCATTATTTATTATAGCTGTCAATCAAATTGTTAGCACAAATCACACAGAAAATTATCAGATTTGAGACTTTACAACATAAATAAACCGCCTTTTTATTTATTTAAATCGCATAGAAGCAAGAAATGTTACATTTAAAATGGAAAATGTTACTTTTAAATAAATGTACACGTGTAGCTTACTTACTACAATTAGCACTATAATTTCAAAAAGAAACCCCACCGATTGGACATAGGTATGCCGAAAGGTAGGCAAGACGCGTAGCGACCAAAATTTGATATTGCACGCACACACAGTCTATAAATCTCGTTTTCCTAAGAATATTGCACGCACTGCATCAACATCATATAGGCCAAAATAATAATTGGAAACGAATTCACTTCCTGTCGCAACTTAAGGTAAGTTCATATAATAGCTCTCCGTTCATACGTTTCCGTTTGTCCGTTAGCCAATCAGAAGACAGCAAATTTTTAAATCGTACGTCGTCCGTTTACGACGGAAAAGTTGGTTGAAGTTGAACATTTACGTTTCCGTTGGTCCGTTTTTAACAAGAGTGAGGTTATGTTTGGTACGTTAACAGTGTTCGCCTCTTCGTTTCTTCACGGTAATAATCAGAGAGCAACGTGTTCTTACTTTCGTACCATTTTTACATACTGAAAATCACGGAAGGTGCAGTACAAAATAAAATTTAGGTTATGGTTATACGTTGCAAATGTACAATGTGGACGGATTGCTATGAACCTTAACAAAATGTATTATCCGTTTGACGGATCAACGCAACGGATGAACGGAGAGCTATGAACCCACCTTTAATCTCCGTTACCATTACGCCTAAAACCATGTAATTAAAATTAAAATGTTGAACATAAACTTTACTTACTTACGGTTTTTTTGATATTCTGCAAGCCCGCAATGAATTCACTGCAGCACATCATGCCAAACAAGGTAAACATAGTCCCAAATTTGAATGGCGTAGCTTTATGTACTAAAACTATTTCAGGAATAACAATTATGGACGCGTCTATAATTATGGCAAGCACTAATGTTATTCGTATTCAATTGATAACGCAATAATTACACAATATTTAGTGAAAAAACCGCCCATCATGTTTAGGGCGAATATTTTTAGTTAGATTTGATTTCGCGCGATCGTGAAATCTGTCAACTGTCACATTGTAAGGATTAAAAATTCAGTAATTTTATAATTCAGATTTCGTATAAAATCTTTTAAAAATTATGCGAATTTTGGACAAGAGAGGGCAGGAGCACTCCATATAAACATTTGACTGCGCAGATATCCCTGCCACTATCCTTACCCCACTACAACGGTAAGGTGTATATAAACAAGAGCACAGCCAAATGGAGATCAGATCCCAGATCCTGCAACTATAAACGATCACCCGAGATCCACGCCTGAATTATAATATTTACCATTGTTCTTTCTACCACCCTTCCAGATTCCGATTCAGCGTATGGTCGAGTATATCACCGTCGCTGTATCAACCCCGCAAATAACAATAAAAATAACCATAATAGTTCAATGCCCGCGTTTTCATATGTCAAATAATGTCGGCCAAAATGTACCTTTACGGGAACCTATCCACGCGAGTGGCCTCTATCTGTGGCGACTTCCGTCTACAAAAATTCTTACCCCTTCTACCATTATATTCCCTCCATTAGTTTTCTAACTCAATGGTAAATGCGGACCGAAGTAAACACAAGTAGGAGTTGTGATTAACTTTAGCCAGACTATTGGCCCGTATGAATAAAAGTAAGCAAATGCTTATACTTGCAAAATTCAAAGTAAATACTCGTAAGTGCTCATTCGCACTGGGCGATTGAGCAGCGCTGCTAAGCAGAAGGACCAGGACACAGTGCAGCGCTGCTAAACCATGCTAAACAGACCAGTATGAAGGGGCAGTTACGAGTATTTACTTTGAATTTTGCAAGTATAAGCATTTGCTTACTTTTATGCATACGGGCCAATGTTTTGTTTCACGTAACCTAAAACTAAACGAGCGCGGTGCTAAATGGTTAAGTAAAAACAAAAGCAAAAAGAAACCGTTAATTATTCAAGGATCGATAAGTATATAAAACTCGAACTTGAGTTTAATGAAATTGATTGTTACTTTAGTTAGAGAGACCATTACTGTTTAGATTTCTGGGTGGAAAAGTTCAATTCTTGTCTAGACATGGAAACATTGGGTTGCGACTTGCGACCCATGAGAAAAGCAAGGCCAAGGGATGGCAATTTATGCCATCATAATGTTGCATATCGGAGACGTCGTAGCACTACCTCAAGAGGAGAGGATACTGCCATACTTTGTTATTTTCGCGTGCCCGTAAAGCGAATGAGCCACTGAATGGGCGACGAAACCTCCTGCTACTGCAGCCGATCTACAGCCAGAGCCACCAAACTGTTTTAAGTTACTTGCAGATGTATTGCACACTGACTCCCTCGGTATTGCGCAAACGCAAGCGCGCTAAAATTTGAATTTGCGTACAACTGTCAAGTTTAAGGGTCCCTTTTCTACACCCTGTATATTCCATAGGTATTGATGGATCCATAATTATTTGAATCCATAGATATGTATAAGCTGCAGCCACTAAATCTGTACCGACGTTAATGAAAGAGATATCCAATAAGCCACGAGTAGAATACCAATCATGCGTACTGAGTTGACATTCCCGGAATTTCACTGGCGTGTGGCGTGTTGTTTCCTTGGAACAAAAAAGTGGTTTACTGTGTTGTAGTTTACGCCAGGCGCATTTGAAATGATTTCCGGTCTTGTGTATTAACAAATGCGTTTTACGATTGGATTTGTACTTGGTGACAAAAGCACACAAGTCTTGACAAACGTGAAGATATGCTTCAAGACTGGATTTATGTTTGGTAACGAAAGCGCATTGGGTACACTTTAAATCCTTGGTGATCTTGAATGTTAATAATGTGTTATAATTAGATTTATTTTATTATTGCATAGTCGCACTAAACCCATTTTAAATTCTTGGTAGTCTCGTTTGCGCATATGCTGTGTTCGACTTACTGTGCAAAGCATTTCTGTTAGATATGTGGGCACAGATGCTCCTTATTGACAGATGGGAGACTATCTATGTATATATGATTTAAATTTGAAACGTTTGAATTGGTCACGTTATATATATTTGGAAAATCTATTTCTAATTCACGGGCGCGTACCGAACCGCAACGAATTCAACCAACCCTACATCTTTTGGGCCAGATGTTAATAATAAAATTAAATATGTTGGCTTTGGATAGAATTTTGGCTTGTATGCCATTTTATGTTTCACGATAAATGTAGAGCCGAGAGAAGAGCATATGTTCACATCTTTTGCGTGGACTGTGCCCCTGTTAATTTCGGGTCTAACCAGCGAACACATAGTTAAATGACAGTACTCAGGATCTATTAACTACGAGAACACTGACAGAATGATCATGTCTATTATAATAGGCGTAGTTCAACCTAGGTCTGCTTCTTACAGACTCCACATATAAGGCACTATTTGACCTTACTGTCGGTAGCAGTAAACAATTTAAAACCAACCTGAAGCCAATGTAACTTTCTTTGGAACACTTCAATGCATATTCATGAAGTGATTTAAAATTAAAACATGAGTCAATAAGAGGATTTAATTAATCGTTTCAGCCGTTAATATACAATATTTACTAGCTAGTGTAATTGGCAAACTTAATTCCATTTCCAAGTACATATAGTTAACAGCTAAACGTATAGTTTAACAGGCGTTAAATTTTAATTAAAAAATTCACAGATTTCGCAATCCACACGCAACCATCGGATACACTGGAAATGATAACCGTATAACGCCATATGTAAAACAAAAATAAGGCTTATAAGACTTAAGCCAAGCTCTGCTTAAGTTTTTCAGTGCAAACGGTCACAACACGTATAGGCGCAAATGCTAGAACAGTGGGATACAGCTAATAGAATCACTAAGCTAAACTAAACTAAACAATTTATAAAGATCTCGCAATGAAAAGATAGAGATCTTATCTTTAAGCATGGGAGAACTACAGAGCCTTAGAAGGCTTTTTAGAGGCCATCTTCCAATGTGCTGCCAACTACAAGATAGGTACAACAGCTGCGAGGATGATAGATGTGGGCTTTGCAGTCTTGACAGCTGAAACAGTGGAACGTTTTCTGCACTTGTAGTACTGCCAATGGACACAGACAAACTACCTTCAATAACGCTACTCTAATGCCCGACGAGGACTAGGGAGCGACACTTCAACATGGGCATCGGTTTCTTGAACCCTTCAGTACACGCCCTCTATGAATTTTCGTGAGCACACGCGCTATGGTTGAATCAGCCGCATCGACCTTTTCTGCGGTAATTATTGATTTTTCACTAATTCACATATGTACCTACATTACAACCTTCATCACCTGACAATCAAATTTAAGTTCTTGTAATCATTGTTCTAAACCTCATTTATACTGCAGAATATGTAATGTAATTTCCTCCTTAGTAACACAAATAATTTAAAATTACATATATAAAACTATCACAGCATGTTATGTAGATATGTACATAGTTCGTTTACAACCCGAAGCCACCTTTGCAGGGTGGACTTCGCTTAATTGTATCGTCAGGCGTCCATTGATCTGGTGTTTTCGCTTCAATTGATAAAGCGTGAACTCCATTTTGTAATTCGTCCTTCAATAAATCGTGAATAATACGATGCCGCTAAAAGAACATTCCAATAGTGATACATTATAATTAACAAGAACATTAAAGACATACCTTAATCAATGGTACACCGCTAAACTTTTCACTGACGACAACCACTTTAAAGTGTGTTTCAGAACCCTTAGGGACGTTATGCATATGAGATTCATTAAGGACATCCAAGTGGAGTACGTTCAAGTTTGTACTCAATTTCTGTCTGATTGCTGTTGCAACTGGAGCTGCCAAGTTAGACATTTTGATTTTCAAGATTAAATTTTTCAATGTGTGGTTAAAATATCCTGTATCTGAAAAAAAAAATAAAAATGAAATAAAAGAAGAATATTACTTAACTAATTGCTAATAAACAATGATAAGAAGACATGAATGATGATTATTAATCAATTTGCTTTCTATTTCTAATGGAAATTTCCTCCGATGTCACGACTCGAACAGCGAAAAAAAGTAAACACAATCCACTATCCAGTGGCGTCACAGATTTTCGGTAAATTGATCTTTCCATAAAGGGTCGATTACACGTAGCGAGTTTACTAGCTATTAGCCGGCTAATTTGCTAGTTGATAGTAAACTAGCTCCGGGTAATCCTATACTAGCAAACTAGCCGGCCGGTTGAAAGCAGATCAACGTTACTCGCTACTCGCCGTCATTTTGAGCGAGTCAGCTAGTAAACTAGTCATGTGTAAACGGAGTTGCTAGTTAAAAAACGGCAAGTGACAAGCCAGTAGTGGTGAAAATGTCGGAAGAATTGGTTATAGCCGAAGTGGTTGTTTTGTCAGCGGTCATAAAAAACGAGCTCGAAAACGAAATACGTAGAAAAAATGAGAAAACGGAACATCGTCGAAGAAGTGTGTGAGTGCAGGGCCGGTCCTAGGGCGAGGATAATTTTAGGGGCGGCATTTTTTAAATTTAAAAATAAAAAAACATGCTTTTGTTATAATAATGTAGTATAATAATAAATCTTATTGTAATCAAAGAATACTTAATTTGTAATGTCAATTGATTGAAAGCGATTATAAAATATAGCCATCTCTGCCAGGCCATTAATTTGCGATATATGCAATAGAATATAGCATGGTTTTTTATTACTTTACCGTAATTGATACACAACGAATAAGCTAGCGCCGGCGGTGATACACCAGTGTCGCTGCTTCGCTTATTACTGCTTAATCCTTATAGACGAGAAGTGAAGGAATCGTACAAAGTCACAAAGGTTTAAAAAAACCTTTAGAAATATAGAGCTAAACAGGGGTGACTTTCCAAAATATAGTATCTCTAAGGATACTTTTAACTATTCCAGTAACCAGTGGAAAACGTTCTTTCTAAAAAAAAAATAATAAAAAATATTTACTTTTAACAATGACACAGGACAGATTAACGGATCCTTTTCCCTTACGATGAATTGTCAAAATGACAAACGGGACAAAGGGCCCTTATTTCAAGATTTAGCAGCACGAATACAGGCGAAATCCATTGTAATTGCTGGTACGACGCAGTGAAATTGCAACATATATAAGGTAACTTACCTTCCAACTCGTCTCCCAAGATTCTTTCTAATCATTAAATCGTTGGTGCGCATAGTCAAAGTTGGGCATTTTATCAATATGATTATTATTTTTGCGGCCCCTTTCACAGTGCCGCCCCTCCGCCCTACCTGTCGGTACGCCACTGATGATATATTGTTAACAATTTTGCAAATGAGAAGTCAAGAAGAGTTCCTATATAAATATAGATATTATTACACTGTTTTTGTATTTTTGTTTGAATTTCCGTTTTTTATATGCTTATGTAAACGTCATTTTCTGATTTCTACAATTTTATTTCATTTTCTCGTAGTTTGGTTGTACCTACTTATACTCATATTAAAGAACCACTTAATAAGCAAAAAACCTTTTCATTGGGGCGGCAAAGTTAGTGATAGCCTCTCTCACTTTTTTCGACTGACGAATGTTGCATCCATATATACTTCTCTTATATATATGGTTGCATCGCATTGTTCTGTTTTGACATCGCGCTGGACGCATTCTCGTTATTCTATTACAACAGTCGCACTCGTAAGTCGTAAAAATAGCAATATGGTTCAGTTGATCTAAATAATCTAAATTCTACACTGTTTTAATATTAGCTATATTTGGTATTATACTGCATGTTCCTATATTGATATACATAGATTAACAACATTATCAATTTAGTGATAAGTTAATTAGTGGTGTGTTAGCCACTATAACGTAAAGTATATAATAATAAATAATTCAGTGATTTGTATTATTTATATTTTGTTCTGTTTAGCAGTGAAACTAAATTTTTCAGATTGAAAATAAGAGGTTAAAATGCACTTTACCTTTTAATTTTACGTAAGTAAGACTACCTTTCTTTTCTCTTAATTAAAGTTTCTACTTGCTTAGCTTAAGTAAGTATTTATATCTAAGTACTTATGTGAAGTTAGTGTAATATCTGTAACTCGTGGCCCTACTGAGTACAACGTAAAATCAGTACGCGTATATCGAAAAATGTAGAATCATATCCATAGTTTATCGTAATTCTTGTTAAAAATAAAGTGACGTTCGCTGCTTCCCATTTAACATTTGTATGGTTTGTTGGTGCCAAGGTTATTTTATTTCATTGAAAACCTAACCTTAGGTTTTCTATTAGCGTTTTCGATTGGCAAAACTCGTACTGCACGAGAAACTGGAGAAATGCATGTGAAAATTGCTCGCAATGGAACAAATATTTGTTATCATTTGTCCATAACCTCATTTTAGATTTGTATTTATACAATGATTTAGGTAATCGACAAATCTGTATTCTAAAAAATTACTGAAACGATTTCACTATTATTTATGATAAACAATGAGGAATATAAATTTGAAATTCCTGTAAAGAACCAATTTTTGGCGTTCAGTTTAAATAGTAAATGCAACTTTTTGTAAAGTAGAAGTTATATGGCTAGTTCATCGTCTTCGCTATCGCTAGATGACAACAAAAAACTCTCCAACGCAAGAAACAAATTCAAATTGTCGCACTTTTGTTTTGAAAATTTGCTCCACGAGCTCTCCGACCTCGTGCGTCAAAATTTGCACTAAGTGCCTAATTGTTGCATCACATTTGCCAATGGAACACAGAAAATTGCCCTAAAATTACCAATAGAACGTAAAAATTGCACTCGTGCAGCACGAATTTTGCCAATCGAAAACGCTATAAGTTTTATTTCAAAATACACCTGGTAACTATGTTGGCGGAAGCGCGAGAAACGGAATGTGTACGTCATCGAGAATACAGACATTAACATTTGACGTTCCCGTTGTTTGTAGTCGCGCGGGCGCTTATTTTTGATGGAATTTTCTTGAGTCTGTTATAGTTTTACTTGTTTAAAATTTGTTGAATTTTGAAGTGCATAAGGACATAGGTATATTAGCTGTAGATATCTGTTTGGTGCAATATAAAGACATTTAGTTTGTAAATTTTGTGGGTTTTCATAGCCGTGATTGAAAGGTTAGTTCATCAGTTGTATGCACTTTTGTATGTTATAATTAAGTATTTTTTTTAGAAGAGTGGAGGTCCCTAACACTCTAAAATTCCTGATCCTGGTGTAAATAAAATCTCGTTTTTTACGTTTCCCAAAGACCCTAACGTTCTTAAAGAATGGGCAAAAAAATGTTTCACATCCGACAGCAAGCTAAAACGTGCTGCGCCCTCATTGGCCAAAACGGCGAACCGATGAAAGCCTAGCGTCCCTGGCTGCAAACGTTTAAAAGCAGAGCCACAAACTCTGCAAACTGCAACGCAATTCCTGCTTCGACTGCACTTCAAGAAACAAAAACCTCTTCACCTGCAGAACCAGGTCACCTTACCAGCTCGACCTCGCCCTACCGCCACACTACCATTAGTCACAGGGGCGCCGTTAGCCTCGACGGGCCCCGGGAATATTTTTTGACCGGGCCCTTATAATTGAAATTTCTGTTGTCCATCACCCTTATCTTAAACTATATACTTAGATTTGAAAGGAGAACATTTGAATAATTTTCATACAGACACAGTAATTTTCATAATTTATTATGAATTGTTAGAATTCAAATAACCAAATTACAATTTAACTCTGCTGATTTTCTTATTAGCAAAAGTGAATATCACTCGCTCAAAATTAATTTCTCTAGCAAGTTGAGCTTCAAGAGCTAATGTATCGAGATTGATCTAACGATCTTGACCCATAGTCGATCTCAAACGGTTTTTTACCTAGCGAGCCTTCTGCCACTGTGCCGTAATTAGGAAATTTTGCTCAATATGGTATGGTTTTTTAAATCTGCTGTGCATTTTTTTTATATTCTACTCTCTCATATAGAGATATGCATATGCAGATTTCTGTTAAAAAATACAATGAAAAATCATGTTTCAAAATCTCTTTTGGCCGGGCCCCCGGAATATGACCGGGCCCCGGGGCAAATGCCCCGGCTGACCCCCCTTATCAGCGGCCCTGATTAGTCAGAAGACCCGCATCCGTGCTGAACCCAACGACGGAGCTCGCCGCGTGCGCCTCGGTTACCATTTTGTACATACTAAATATACATATTCCATAAAACGTAACCGCATTTTATTTAGCGTCGTCCGCTAAAGAATGTTTAGAGTTTTAATTCCCCAAGCCAAGGTATTATGGTTCTTATTTTGTAGATCGCGGAATTTTATCAATTTCCACCTCTAAAATTAATTTGATTACATTTTCATTAAATGTCATCACATCACTGTTTTTGAAAGTAAAACGTGCATAACTTTTACCACAGACAACATTGTCTGTGCTATAACTAACTATTCATGGCAACTAAAAACAACTAACTACTTTTTCATTACTACCTAATTTTACAATAATTAAAACTAAATCAAGGCGTTAAGGAGGGAAGGCATTTTCAAATATCTCAACACTCTCACTAAAATCTGTCTTTCATTATCAATATCAAAATCACGATATTAAACTAAATAATAAAGTTTCCATAGTTACATTACATACACTAAACATTTTTTAATTTCACACCAAATTGTTCTCGTAACAATTCATGCCTCTTTTTGTTCTAACTGTTTAGCACTTTCCACATATTCAACACAAATTTTATGCCCGGTACACTGTTCACGGATAAAATGGTATTTTGTGTCAATATGTTTGGTTCGTTTATGAAACTCTGGATTTTTAATTAAATGTATTGCACTTTGATTGTCATCTAATAAAGGTGTTGTATATGTTGTCTGTGCTTTTACATACGACAACCAATTGGTCTCAGATTTTGCATACGCATACCTTTAGTGGTGCCAAGTTTAACTTTAGAAAATGGGAGGGAGGTAAACACATGTTCTACCATTGAATAAGTAATTATAATTACTTATTCAATGGTTCTACCCTTCATGGTATTCTAATGAAAGGTCTCATCCTCATCGAAATAAATTGGTTTGTATGTACAAACTATAAAGCCCCATTCAAATAGGTGGTAGTGCAGTGCTGTTGCGGTGCGGTGCCTTTGTATAAAAGTTTGAAATACGCATACCCATATGACAATTCACAATGACATATGCAGTGCAGACGACTTGCAGCCGCGTGCCGAAAGTATGTAAACTTCAAACTTTCTGCACTGCACCGCACACTACGGTAGCAAGCACCAATAGGAACGCATCATGTTTGTCATGGCCATCTGTCACAGCTAATTACATAAGCTCTTCATAGTGTTTGCGCGGGTGTGCATTTAATTTAATTGTTTGATTGATGGATTTTAACGATTTGCTGCTGCTATTGTTGTTTGTTGTTCATAATTTTGTAGAATAAAATAATCCCGCACGCACACCGATTTTGCGGTGATTGTTATTGTGATAATTAAAGGTCTCAACGAAAGGAATTAATTATTACCAACCATTGCTCTCCTCCTCGGCCTCTTATCGTGACCTTATACCTCAAGAACGGATTGTGGGAAGAAGGTACTCTCAAAGGGCGATTGAGACGTCTGCAAGAAATATATCCATTGATGATGTCAAAACAAAAGCTATTTCGGTTTAAAAAAATAGGCTTTATCTGCACAAGAGTTGTGCACAATTTATACTTGTTTGTATAGTATATGTACCGCCGAAGCGAGTATTTTTAGCGCATTTCCACAAAAAAAAAAATGCGCTATTGTGGCCACTTTGTCCGTCCGTCCGTCCGTCCGTCCGCTAACTTTGCGACGCTACTAGTTTTTTATCTTAAGAGCTATTGTTCTACTTTTTCGCTATTTGGTTCGTTATGGTGTCGAGTCTTGTACCAAGGAAGGAATTTTTTCTGTACCGCTTACAAAAAAAGTTATTGTAAAAAAACAAAAAACCGTTTTTTACATGTTCCATAATTTTACACTTTTGCCGTTTATTAACGATCCTAGAGATCGTTTATAATTTTGCATTGCTATCTCTCGCCTGCCGGTTGATCTCTCCGTCTGTTCCTTTGTCTGTCTGCCCATCTATCTGTCCGTGTGAACCATAACTTTGTTTAGAAATGTTCGATCGCTTTTACATCTCCGTTAGTTATGAACTGAATTGCATGAAATTCAATATGGGCATAGCTTTAGCCATATAATACGCAATGCCAAAAGTTGAATCGAATCGATTCAAAATTCACAGTGCCCTTTTCGCATCTCGACCATTTATAAACCGAATTGCAAACTTTTTTACTTATAAAAGTATTTGAATGAAATTTGATACATAGGCACTTGGAATAAAGGAAAATCAAACGCCAATTTCAAAATTTGGTTTTGCGCATGCGCAGTGCCAACTTTTTTATTTATGGAAGAATTTAAACGAAATTTGATACATAGGCACTTGGGATAAAGGAAAATCAAACGCCAATTTCAAAATTTGGTTTTGCGCATGCGCAGTGCCAACTTTTTTATTTATGGAAGAATTTAAACGAAATTTGATACATAGGCACTTCAATAAAGGAAAATCAAACGCCAATTTCAAAATTTGGTTTTGCGCATGCGCAGTGCCAACTTTTTTATTTATGGAAGAATTTAAACGAAATTTGATACATAGGCACTTGGGATAAAGGAAAATCAAACGCCAATTTCAAAATTTGGTTTTGCGCATGCGCAGTGCCAACTTTTTTATTTATGGAAGAATTTAAACGAAATTTGATACATAGGCACTTGGGATAAAGGAAAATCAAACGCCAATTTCAAAATTTGGTTTTGCGCATGCGCAGTGCCAACTTTTTTATTTATGGAAGAATTTAAACGAAATTTGATACATAGGCACTTGGGATAAAGGAAAATCAAACGCCAATTTCAAAATTTGGTTTTGCGCATGCGCAGTGCCAACTTTTTTATTTATGGAAGAATTTAAACGAAATTTGATACATAGGCACTTGGGATAAAGGAAAATCAAACGCCAATTTCAAAATTTGGTTTTGCGCATGCGCAGTGCCAACTTTTTTATCTATGGAACTATTTAAGTGAAATGTGATACTTAGGCGCTTGGAACAAAGGAAAATCTAACATTAGTTTTAAAATTTAGGTTTGCGCATGCGCAGTTCCAACTTTCTTATTTACAAAAGCATTGAAATGAAATTCTTCTCATAAACTGAAATTGAAGTAGCACGTCAACAATGGATTGCCCATGTGCAACGCTATCTTTCATATTTGTGGCCGGATTTTTACGATTTTAACAGAAGTTGCATCTTACAAATGGGAAATGAATGCACGTGGAAATGCGCTTTATGTAAATCGTTTACGATTACTTTTTAACTTGTTGGTCTTTATTTTTAAGTGGGCGAGATTTCACGTAAGGGTGCTCTACCAACCCAATACACTATACATTTACAAATAGCAATGCTCTATCCCAAATTCGAACCTGCATATTGCCCTTGCTGTGTGTTTTTTTTAAATAAAAAAAGAAACCACCTCTCAATTCTGAATAATTCGTTTTTTTGCAGGTGCAATGGTTAGGGTCAATAGAGGATTACTTCCAATAAAGGCCCATTTTCTGTTCTTTATGGCAGGTGAGTATTTTGAGAAAGAGTCGTAACGTAAGCAAATTTTACTTAAAGATACGTACAATCACAAATTTTGTAAACTTCTCGTCAGGAAAGATTGCCGGTCACAGAAGACCTGATCCCGGTCTACAATCGTCTTTTCGTTCAACATTGTCACGATCCTATTCCAGAAGTCCCTTTGGCGCGCAATAGTCGGTGTAAATATAATGTACATGCCATGCCATCTACGTTAGAGTTTCCTTTATGATATATTTCATAATTACAGTACGGTCGCGGTAATCCAACGTTCCGTGCATTCCGATGCCCAAAAGAAAAACGAAGCATCGTATAAGTTTTCAGTAGGGAAATTTTTTTATACTTAGCTCGCATTCGGAAGCGCAACTTTTAATGCGGCTCATAATCAAAAGCACTGATCCTTGAACTATCGTAGGAGTTGATTGAAGAAGATTTGCGCTGGTTCTTTTCGAGTTAGACGAGGTACAGACGGACGGACAAAACCATCACATAAGGGAAATTTCTTTCAAAAAATTCCTCTAAAACACTTGAAAACACTACCTATTATTCTATTTTCATGTAGTCACCGTGCAGGCAATATTCTACATTACTCACCCCAAGGCACCGGGTAACGTGTTGAAATTGAAAGCCATTCTGATTCTTACAGGTCTAGTTCTAAAAATAGATCAGTGGTTTTTCGCCTGCCGCTGTGTACAGATCGAGCTTCACTGTTTCTGTGTATTCTGTGCTTTTTGAAATTTGAACCCTACTGTATTTCAATATTTTTCATTGTATTTATACTTAGTGCATTTGCCTTCGACCTGTAATTTTAATAATAATTTTCCTGAGAAATAATAGAAATAGAAATGAAGATGTTTTTCGATAATCCGAAATTCATTGAGTAGAGGGCCCCCTACAAATATTAGCCCAGGGCCCCCTGAGGCCTCGGTCCGCCTCTGGTTACAATGTGCCCATCGAATTTAAAGAAGCGGCATTCCACGTAGTAGAAATCACCTTAACCACCGCTGGCTGGCATTGAAGAAAATCACGATGGATCATTTTGGCCGTTGTGAACACTAGCCATGGAGAAAAGGGATGCTGGAAAAGGTTACCGTAGTTTTCAGACGGCGTGTTTTCGTACCTACTTGCGTCGGTTTCAGTAACCGCATCACATCTGCCGCACCACGTTCTCGAAAGGAAAGTTTCCCTCAACCATCAGTCTAACATGCCCCTCATTCGCTTGCGCCATACCACGTCGTTCTGACTGCCAACTTATTGTTACTCCCCTACGAAGTAGCTATATAATTGCTGCACAAATAGATCCGCGATACCACACTAAATTCATCAAGCGGGCTATATTCTGTGGATTCTATCGCATAGTGAACGATTTCTCGCAAGATGAACTTCCAGACGGTTAGAATAATATCCCAAACTATTACTTCCCGAAAATGGAAACTCGTGCCCGAGGACTACATCCGTAGTTTGTGGGAGGATATACACTTCCCTGAAACGGGGACGCTACAAAACTTCACCGACACTACTCTAGAAATCTGTATATCGATCGATCGGTGTCATGGGGCCGTATATGCAACCAAAGTAACTACCTACAACAAATGAGGATCTGCCTGTCATATTAATTCATTTGAATTTATCGCTTTGACTTTCGTATTCCAATTTTAGTACATGTGCGATGTATTCAACAAAATAAAAAGTTGATATTTACAATTGGTATAGTGCCGATAACAGTTAAACGGAGCTTAAGGTCCTACATTGGAAGCGGAATTTCTCCCGATCAGGCGGTCTGAGCGGGTCTGAAAAAAACAGACACATGACCACGAACTTATAAATTAAGATGGACTGCTGATCAAACAGTTGCATAGCGCGGTAGAAATGACCCTAGCATGGGCGCGGGCATGATGTGCACTTTTTAGTTATTTTCTAGGGGAATTTTCCTAGTGCTCAAGTTTTGAGACTATTGCAGCCTTAGAAAATGAAATGTGTCACAGTAATTTATTTAGAAAACGGGAGGTTAATGCTTGTTTATTAGTTGATTTGAATTTCGCGCCAAGTGAGTGCCACATCATGGCTGCCCCCATGTAGGTGTCATTTGTCAATTCAGCATTAGCAATCCATCTTAATTTATAAGTTCGTGCACATGACGCACCGTCGCCCCTCCTGCACTGAAGCCAGTGCACGTTTCCGAGAGGAGAGTCGGGTGTGAACTGGTCTGACAACGTTCAAAAAGGTTTTGGTTTTTCCTCCAGTTGCATGAAAGCTTTGGTGAAAATTAGCTGCAATGTAGGAGCGCCGAGTCTGGACGTCTGGCCTGGCCGTGATCGACTCCGCTTCCAATGTGATTTATTTTCTGTGAAGCTAAAGCAACTATAGTATATTAAGTATGGAGAACGGTAAGGGATTTTTACCGTTCGAAGACAATTGTTTGGAGGAGGAGCGGAGCGACGACTCCAATCATTGTCTGAGAACGGTAACCCTTAACGTTCGACGTGCTTATAACATTTTTTGCGCGATCGAAATTAAAATTATGCAACCAATATAAATATGCACTAAGAAATTAACGAGCAGAATAAATCGATAAATGATCGAAGTGGTATGGTACCTACACATCACTAGGTAACCAGTTTATTTGTCAAAACTGAAATTAATAATTTCTTGTGCATGTGTCTGATGTAGTTTAATAATATTTTTTTTCTATTTCGATGTGGAAACAATACCAAAACCGTACTTGATTGGCCCAGTTTGCGTGCGTTTCTAGACAGAAATGATGCTGAAAGAAATAGAAACGCATTATTTTTTTTATTTTGTTGGATTGGTACCCCTCGCTTTTTTACTGTCAACGGTATCCGTCAAATCAAAACTAAACATAACCTGTAAAGTGTAAATAACGTACGAGGAACTTGACCGATTGTATTAATTCCGATTAATTTTGAATATATACTCCAAAGAGTAGAACTTTTTTTATTTTTACTTAGCGTAGTAAAATATGCCAGCAGTATACATTCTTGCTTACTTTTTGAACTCCCTTCTCGGCCAGCCAGTTTTCAAAAATTTTGTACTCCTCGTACTTTACTTTCGATTTTACAGGCAGTAAATTTAACGTCGCTTCATTGGCAATCTCACTTGGATCTCTGGTGGGGTACAAGAGACGTGTTTGTCATCCGTATTCATCATAACTGCCGCAAAATGGAATTATGACCAAATAATTAAAAGTTTGAAGTTTGAAAATACAGGAATCAGGTTAGCCAACGTGAAAATAAATGACTTGTGTCTATTACCAACATACACTGAATGATAGTTTAAAATTACCTAACAACGCCTAAAGGCAATATTTATAATTTGTATAATTTATTATTTAAAATAAAAGTCGAAATAGAAAAAAATAGTATAAAGCACACGTGTCATTTGTCTACTTGTCGCACTCGGCTTTTGCCGCATTCGCCGCTACGCGGCTTATGCGGCAAACTACCTCGTGCGACAATCTTCGTCAAATGACACTTGTACTTTAATATACTATTGCGCGATCGGTCATTTCTGACTATTTACCATGGGTGTTTCCATGACAGTACGTAGAATTTACCAGTTGCTATGATTACGACGACGCCAAAATTACTTACCGATCTAAAAACAGAACAGCAAAAATACTTACCGACGCCTTTTTAAAAATCAACAGTCTTACATTACATTTAATCTTTAATTATTGTTAGGTACATTAAACGTACAATTTGTGCTGTTGTTTCCTATAGAAAGACGCTCATAAAGTCATAAAGTGCAAAGCTAGTAAACTACATCAGACACATGCACATTTTTATGAAATTATTAATTTCAATTTTGACAATTAAACTGGTTACCTAGTGATGTACAACCATACCACTTCGATCATTTCGATTTATTCTGCTCGTTAATTTCTTAGTGCATATTTATATTGGTTGCATAATTTTAATTTCGATCGCGCAAAAAATGTTATAAAGCACGTCGAACGTTAAGGGTTACCGTTCTCAGACAATAATTGGAGTCGTCGCTTCGCTCCTCCTCCAAACAATTGTCTTCGAACGGTAAAAATCCCTTACCGTTCTCCATAGGTACTTAATATACTATATTACTGTTAACATGCCAATAAAACATTTACAAAGTCAAAGGGAACAACACAACATTTATACATTCATGTTAAATTACACATAAATCACAGTCTTTAAATTCATTAATAGTATAAAATGCGCCTTCAGTAAGGAATTTTTTAAATTCAGTTTTCAGGGCATTGTACGGTAAATCCCTGGTCTGGCCAGGCAGCAGGTTAAAAAGCTCAAACGAAATATTTACAAAACTTCTGTGAGTTTTTTCTAATCTGTAATGCTTTAGATCAAGATTACTACAATTTCGTGTATTATAACTATGTATATCGGACCTTACACAAAGTTCATTGGCACGAATCTTAGCATATAGAATACAGTGTAGTATAAATATGCAAGGAAATGTCAACAATCTGAATTTAATAAACACATTTTTGCAATCTTCTCTATACTGCAGATTGCCTATAATTCTAAGTTGGAGAGCAAGTATTCGTGTTGCAGTTGTACCATTACCCCAAACAATGTTACAGTAATATAAGTGAGTCTGAATCTCTGATAAATAGACCATACGTAAAATATTAGGGGAAACGTTTTCAGATAAGCGTAAGGCGCTTATCTGAACGGAATAACGGAATTGCAAAGCTTAAGGAGCTTTGCAATTCCGTTACAAGATTATTTTATTTCAAAGGTTACCTGGTAACTATGTGGGCGGAAGCGGGAGGGACGGAATGTATACGTCATCGAGAATTCAGACATTGACGTTCAACGTTGTTTGTAGTCCCGCGGTTGCTTATTTTTCTTGAGTTATAGTTTATTTGTTTACAATTTGTTGAATTTTGAAGTGCGTAAGGACATTATATTAGCTGTAGATACCTGTTTGGTGCAATATAAAGACATTTAGTTTGTGAATTTTGTGCGTTTTCCTAGCCGTGATTGAAAGGTTAGTTCATCAATTATATGCACTTTTGTATGTTATAATTAAGTATTTTTTTAGAGTGGCGGTAACACTAAAATTCCTCATCCTGGTGCAAATAAAATCTCGGTTTTTACGTTTCCCAAGGACCCTACCGTTCTTAAAGAATGGGTAAGAAAATGTTTCACATCCGGCAGCAAACTAAAATGTGCTGCGCCCTCATTGGTCAAAACGGCCAACCGATGAAAGCGTTTAAAAGCAGAGCCACGAACTCTGCAAAGTGCAACGCAATTTCTGCTTCGACTGCACTTCAAGAAACAAAAAGCTCTCTACCTGCAGAACCAGGTCGCCTTGCCACCTCGACCTCGCGCCACACTCTATCAGTCAGAAGACCTGCAGAAGACCCCAACGACAGAGCTCGCCGTGTGCACCTCGGTTACCATTTTGTACATACTATAAATATACATATTCCATAAAACGCAACAGCATTTGATTTGGCGTCATCCGCTAAAGAATGTTTAGAGTTTTAATTCCCAAAGGCTAGCTATTGGTACATAGGGGTGGTTCCTGTTTTGTAGAACGCGGAATTTTATCCATTTCCACCTCTAAAATTAATTTGATTACATTTTCACGAGTCCTCGTGCAATGTAAAACAGCTTACGCACCACACTCATTTTTTCAATACTTTGATTGCTTTCAAAGGTGGAAGTCGATAAACTTCCAAGATTTCCAATATAAGATCCACCCTTATAATACATATACCCAAAATATACTGCAAAAACTAAATGTTTTACCCCTTTTATTAGCATTGTAACCTATGAGCAATTTTAAATGTGTATTCTGGATGACGTTTTCCCGCCTTCAAAATGCAAGCATTCTATTGGTTTAGAGTTACCAGACAACCTTTCTAATAAAACAACCTTGCTTCCGTGATGACTTTATGAGCGAGGTATTCGCCGGTGGCCGAATAGTATGTCGAAGATTTTACAAAACAAAATTGTAATTGGAATGTATTAAGAAAAACGAAAGCACATCTTCAAACTCATTGATCTCTATTGCTTCAGGTTTAAATGAAGAACGTGTTCTTTCTATAGGAAACATCAGCATAAATTGTACGTTTAATGTAACAATAATTAAAGATTAAATGTAATGTAGAACTGATTGTTTTTAAAAAGGCGTCGGTAAGTATTTTTTTGCACTGCTTCGTTCTAAATCGCGTTTTCCCAATCAAACACGAACGTGGGAACGTCAATTTTACAATTGACTATCTACTTTCGCGCACTAGTGCCTAAAAATTCAACGAAATTAGCTATTAACTGCGGATCATGAACTAATAAGTAGCATGATGGAAGAGTAAAAAAGAAAATATAAATACACTTTACATCATTCCCTGTAGTACACGGGCAAAAATAAGCTTAAACCAGAAGTTTTTAACAATAAATTGACATTTTAAATTTCTACTTTATCGGCATAGAGGACTTGATTTTTTCAATAGAATTATAATGTCGCAAAAATCTCGCGAAAAGGATTTGAATTTATATAAATTGGATTTAACTAATCCGTGCAAAAAATAGAATACATCTGTTACGTGCGTGAACAGTATTTGCTTGATTCGCGCGAGATGCGTCGCTCGTGCGCGTTGCGCACTCGCGCCGCCAAACTTCGCGCTCATCTTCAAAATAACTGTTCCCGCACTAATAATCTAAATAACTATTGCTGTTCTGTTTTTAGATCGGTGAGTAATTTGGGCGTCGTCGTAATCATAGCAACTGGTAAATTCCACTTACTGTCATGGAAACACACATGGTAAATCGTCAGAAATGACCGATCGCCCAAAAAATATTGAAATTAATAATTAATACGACAGCCTGATCTGTTTTCAGAAGTTATTTAGGTTGCATAAAATTAGGCGTCTTTCAGACTTTATGTATAAAAGTAGACATAGGAAATCTCTATTACTTCTACATGACTGTATAATCTCTGCTAGCAACCATAGCTTACAAAGTATATAGAGACAAAAAGTAACTGATGGAACATTCACGTACACAATCCAACCACTATTGCAAAATGAACCCCTCTGTTGCAATCGAAATCAGGGCCGGCTCAAGGCAAAACTTACATGTAACCAAGCACTATAATTTGCCCCTTTGTCCGCCACGCTAAAGCCTGAATAATGGGCAGGGGTACTTTTGGCAAGCATGTTTTAAAAATACAGGGTGTTAATTAATGTCATGCAGATATTTCAGGGGGTGATAGCACTCGTCAAAATAAGAAAAAATGCAAATATGTGCGTGGTGTAAAGGGAGTCATTTTTGTTATACAGGGTGGCAAAGTTTCTATTGTTCTTTTGTATTTTACGTTGTCTCTCTTATGTTCTGGGATAATTGTTTCAAATTTGATACATCAATTACTACAATAAAGTATGAAAATAGTTGGTCGCGGTATACAGGGTGTTGAATTTTCTTTGCCACCCTGTATAACGAAAACGACGCCTTTTAGACCATGCAGCTCGCATAGATTTGGTCTATGCATATAGTTACATTTTATTCTTATTTTGAGGAGTACTATCACCCCATGAAATATCTGCATGACATTAATAAATAATAATAGCCTGTATAAAGGTTCATATTTAATAGATTTCTCACTAGCAGACCCGAAAAACTTCGTACCGCCTATCAGTCAATCTCCCGCTAATTCCAATTCAGTTATTTGTAGCTTTAAAAATATGTTCGAAGGTAGGTCGAAGGACGTGATCAGCTGCAGGAAAACTGGATCGCATACATCTTCCGCCATCAGCCACCTTCTTATGGTTACCGTCTGTGACGCTGAGCTTCCATCAGGCGCATCGTCAGCTTCCATTTTTACCTCTTTTGTATGCGTCAAAGGGTGTAGCATCATTGACCACTAAGTGCCAGTAGTATAATACAGGGTGATCTTGCGGTGGAACGTTTATGATTGAATAAACCATAGTCAAAATTAGAATAATATGTGGCTGCCGTTCAACCGCACAGGTTCAACTAGACATTATGTTATTGTCCCCTAATTAGTGTTAATGACTCAGCACTTTCCCCACATTGTTTTATATTTGACATTACTTGATGAAAACTGTAGAGACAAATGTTTGTTACAGCAATGGGTCCGATCCTTCCGCAACTGTCCGTCTATGGTAGAGAATTAGGAATCTCACCAGTAGTCATGGGAACCGTAACGGGAATATTGCCTATTTTATTTTTATTATCAAAGCCAGCATTTGGACTACTTGTTGATGTATTGAGACATTACAGAAAAGCAATATTTCTTGGTCTAATATTGGCGACAAGCTTATTCTACGCATTGCTGTATTTTGTGCCGTCCCGCTTTATATCACAGTACCACTTCAAAAAGATACAATGTTCACAACCGGAAACATGTAAATTGGTACTCATTTAACAAAGTTTAAAATCTTAGGTTAAGTAGATCCCTTCTTCAAATGAAGCAAAAATACAAGTAAAACCATAATGAAATAAATACTCCCAGCTCTAGTTCACTAGCAATAAAACTGAACTGGAAACCTTATGTAATAATAATAATAACTTTTATTATGTTTTAGTAACAGAGAAAGTTACATACAATCGTCAAAATAAAATTACACAAAAATCTAAACCGAGATCTAAACTAATACATAAATTTAAATTTTTCCGCCGAATTTAAAATTAAAATATTCATTTTGCGAATAGAACGCCTTTGACAACAAAAAATGTTTAATGTTGCTGCTAAAAACCTTTTCATTAAGCAACCAAATAGTATCAGATAGATGATTATAAAATTTTATTGCACCTTTTTGCGATATACTTAATCTTAAAAGGGATAAACGATAATCCTATCGTTCCTCGTATATACAGTTACGTTTCAGGACAATTTGGAGGATCTTTCATGTAATAGTACAAGTCGAGTTACCTGTGATCTGAAGTGCAACAAAGACACTTTTAAAGGCATATCTGGGATAATACAATTGGGACTGCAAGACAATGTCTGCTTTTATAATGCGAGTTTGGATTGCTCTGTTTGCGATGCAATATGTGATGATGACATTGAAAATAACACGCATTGTTTATATACATCTTTTACATTCTGGGCTTTTATTATCCTAATTTCATTAGGGACTATTGGTTTTAACGTTCTAAACTCAATTAGTGACGCAATTTGTTTTGATGTAATTGGTAAGTTATTCGTATGCAATATCACTTAGGTACTCATTCGAGCTGCTTTAGAAGACGAATATGATTATGGAAAACAGAGAGTGTGGGGTACAATAGGTTTTGGGATCACCGCCTTAATTTCTGGGTACGTCGTGCAATATTTTTCTGGTAATCAACTGACATACACTCCGGCTCTGATAATCATGTTAATATGTACAGCGATAGACTTTTTTGCGTGTATTAAACTTGAGGTAGGTAAGTGAATCATGTACCAATTATCAATAATACAGTTGGATGTATATGTCTAGATTCCAATAATTCAAGCTCCGAAAAACATTTTTAAAAGTCTGAAGGACCTTTTAAATAATTGTCAAACAATCGTATTTATATTTTATGCCACAATGGCTGGAATTGTAGATAGCTTTGTTGTATACTTTTTATTTTGGTACATAGAAGACTTCGCATTGCTGACAAAGACACCAAATACAAAATTGTTGGAAGGCTTAATAGTTGCAGCGCAAACCCTGGGCGCCGAAATTATATTTTTTTATATATCAGGTAAAATATGGAATTTCTAAATAAAGTTTCTATTTTCACCTACTGTCTACGTTTCACCATAACGATCTTACTTACATAAATGGTACCTACCATAAATGTCAACCAGTATGCATTTTAGGGACAATTATAAGAAAAATTGGATATGCCGCAACCTTCAGTTGTTGTTTCCTTAGTTATGGCATCAGATATGGTTTAATATCCATAGTACCATCACCCTGGTGGATTATACCTATTGAAGCTCTAATGCAAGGACCCTCATATGCTCTGATCTATACAACCATTGTAGCATATGCAAATGCAATCTCGCCTCCTGGAATGTCGGCAACCATGCAGGGTATAGCGGCTGGAATGGATGATGGATTTGGTAGGGAAAATACGAATTTAACACATTTTAATTATATTAGTTTAGGATATGCAGTTGGCAGTGTACTGGGTGGTATTCTTTATAAATATATTGGCGGTACCAGCACACTCAGAGTATTCAGTGGATTAAGCATAGTTTGTGGAATAAGTTATTTAATTATTCACAAGACGATCCTTCGGAATACTGAAGATCCTACCGCTGTTAAAGTGCAGACTTATCATGCACCAGGGAATAATGAAGATCTTGTTGCATGAATAGGTGCCTTATTTGAAAGGAAAACAATTTGTACATGTGTCACAACCTTCAAAATATATTATTTTTTATAACGTTATACTACAACAATTTGTTAAATAAAACTAGTCACTCAAAATTATTGTTGCATTGTCGTCATTCACGCCACTCTCTACACGAATTCTCAAAGCGTTAAGTTACCTATTTATGGTGACCCTTCTCTGTCTATAGGTTTATTACTTCCGGTTTTACACCTATTTTTTATTTTTGAACACGGAAATAAAACAACGATAACAATAAACGCACGATATACCATGCGAAAAGAACATAGTACAATGTGTGAAAGAGAGAGAACCGAATAATACCTGTTCTTTGGAACTAATAAACAACGATACCGGTATATTGGTTCCTGTTATCATAACTCCTTGAATAACGGCTCCGTTTCTAATTTTTAATTTTTCATGAAAGCAGAAACTTTGTTACTGGTGTATTTATCTTAGTTTCTGTTATTAGCATTCAAAAATAAAAAAATAAATGTTCCATAAAAAAATAAGTAAGATTTGAAGATAATATCCCTCTCAGCACTAGGTACTGGTAACTAATATTAGGTGGTTAAGATGGGGGAAGTCCTAGTTCAGTCGGCATAAAAGGTGGTAAGCCAAGATTAAAGACTGTTATTTTATATATTAAACTAGATCGGAATGGAGCTCCCTGCGCTCGCTCTGACCAATCACGGCGTTTCGTGTCCAACGCCGTTTTGGTATCCCCACACACATTTGTGTGTCGTATTCTAAAATGCAGAAAAAGCTGGAAATATTTGATTCGGCTCAAAAAGGACCAATATATTTGTGAGCTCTTCTTTAGTCAATCCTCATCGTATAGGTTGGTAAAAAAGTCTCCGCTAGAATGTGCATATTTCGCTCAAATAGCGCTTAACATTCCTCCTATCAGTTAGGTTAGGTCGAGACCTGTCCAAAGACACCCATGAACCCCTACCTACGACGCACCGTTCTGGAGATATCGCGTTTTAAGTGTTTTCGGTGGTGACAAATTTCAAGTCGCTATATCTCCGTTGTTTACCGTCCGATCTTGTCCAAATTTGGTATTCAGAGATTTCGGGGCAACCGTTCCCACCCTTTCTTAGCTTCTATCTCCGTTTCGAAATTCCGACCCTCCCAACGGTTAGGTTAGGTCGAGACCTTTCTAAACCGTTCTCGAGATATCGCGGTTTAAGTGTTTGGTCAAAAATGAGAAATACCGTTTTTGTGTATATCCTCTAGAAATTTAGCAAAACGCGAGATTCCGAAGTATCGAGGTCGTAAGTAGAAAGACAACAGAGATGCGGCGATATCTCGAAAAGGGCCAGATTGAAAAATTGATATTTGGCGCGGATGGTACGCCGTAAGTTGGGGGACGTTCTGGGCCGCATTTGAGCGATCGTAAGTTTTTCCTAGGTCGTCTCGTTTTCGCGCCGCGAGGGATAAAGCGCAGCGACGTCGACGATGCCAAACTTTGCACCCCCCTCCCCCCCAAACGAAAGTTAATCCGGGGTACCGACCGTTACGTTATACGCGGTACCGTCCGGGCTTTAGATTAAACGCATTCCGAGGGGGGGAAGCCGGTCTACTTTTCGAGCAATTTCGCCCTCTTTCCACCCCCGTTCTCTCGTACGGGTCCTCCCCCGCGGGGGGTGTCGCGACCGCGCCTTTCGAAAGCCTCGACCCTCCTTCCCGCCCTAGCCGCGAGCTCCATTCTTCCAGTTTGATCGTTTACCCTCCGCGAATTTTTTTCCGGAGGGCCACAATTGGGGATGGCAGCGGGGGGGAGGGGGTGAAAAGCAATTTTGAGGAGGTTGCCGCGCATTGGAAAAGTAGCGCGACCGGAATTCGAGGCGCGTTTAAAAATTTGGCGAAATTATCCGGCGCCAAAGAAATGTTATCGACGAAAACGTTGAATTTTGCTTTGTAAATTATTGTAATTATTAATTTACAAAATGACGCTCTTTAATCTTGGCTTACCACCTTTTATGCCGACTGGACTAGGACTTCCCCCATCTTAACCACCTAATATTCAAAAATATACACAGACATGTATTTATAAGGTTAAAACTGATGCTTGTGTTTGTTTAATTTACAGTGGCCAGAAAGTGTGTCCAGTCGAATGAGTGTCATATAACGTCAGACTAGCACTATTACTGTCAGAAGACGTTATTAGGAGCTATCTAAGCATGCGTAACATTGAGCCAACAATAATGATTGCGGTAATAAATTGTGGACGAATACAGCACGGTGTAAAATAAAGTTAATCGACGTTATTCTCTACGAAAAGCGACAAGTTCACACGAAAATTCAGGATTGAAACCGGGAAGGTCGTGCAGTTTAAGGAAAATATCGGGTGATAATGGCCTCACATTCCAAGGAACAAAAGGGCATTGCTGGACTGCCGAATTTAGAGATTTCATTCTGACTATTTATATAAGTATAATTAGCCGTAATTATGTAAATGAGCAACAGCCAATTAAGTCGAGAATACATCCGTTTCCATACTTTTCCGATGTCGAGTAAAGGATTAATTAATTCAAAACATTTTAATTTGTTTGAACGTATCGAAGGTATAAGAATGCGATATGGGAATTCCAGTTACTCCCTGCTCGAAAAGGACGTTTAGATAAATAGGACGCAGCGTAACAGCTGCTCGTGGTGTACGTATCGATGTAAGGGAGTGCGCATGGGGTATCTCCATGTAATAGAAGCAGACAGAAATATTAATTAATGTTAATGAAGGGTAGTCTTGACTTAATTTTTGAGGCAGCCCATTTTCAATGTGTTTGTTTACATATTAAAGTTGCTAATAAATGTATTTCACTAAGTAAATAGATGGGCGAAGGTTGACCTTGCACTACTACCGCTTCCGCTATTGAAGAACGTCATGCGCCTACAAGAAATGACATCAATTTTTTGTATCTTCAGATAAATTCCAAAAACCATCTTAGCAAACACTATGATTCATTTTAACGAATGAAATGCCTATCATTGATACTTATTCAATGTGCATATTAATATTAAGCCACTTATCACATTGTAGGACCGGCTTTTGTAATCCATCCTCAAACAAGGCACTGAGAAAACAAATAGGGCTAACGCATACAGACAACTTTTAGTTGAACAACTGTTTTGTTGTGTATCATATGTTTAAAAGAATATATTTAATCGCACATACTGTCAACTCGATAGTTGCTCCACAAAAAAGTCAAAAAGCTTTATCGATTTGCTTTTGATTTAAAAGTTGGATAACCATCGATCAAGCGCTCAATTTGTAATGCATTGTATTGATGTGCACAAACCATTGACCAAACAGTCGATCCGCGACTGACTGCGACTGCCAGTCTCGTATAAGCATTGGAAGCGGCGCCACGTCTCTTGTCACCATGGCGGGAACTATTTCATTATTTATTATTTCATTAAACGTTTCCTTCACTCATTCTATAATTTTGAAAAACTTGTCTGGGTGCTCTTTTAGCTTGGAATGTAACGTATGAAATATTCCACTATATGTATAGCTAGTTAATCTATCACTGAGTATAGGATGTACACAGACAGTATCTTCTTTTTTTATCTCTCTTAAAATGTCTATAAAGCAAAGTACAAACTAAAATTTCTTGTTAATTGACATTGTTTGTCACCTTCACTCGAGCGTTGCTGAATCTGGTCGATTTGAGGAGATAAAAAAATCGATTGTATGCGCACCTCCATCAACTAAACTGTTTAGTTGAGTAGAAATCACGAAAAGTACAAAACTCGACGAAATGGTTTAGTCGATGCAACAGTTGTATGTGTGCGCTCGGCCTAACAACACGCACTTCGTCTTCGCGTTGGTGGTATTCTTAATTCGTGGCGCCATTTTAAAAACAACCACCAAATGTAGGCCTAATAAGGGTATAATCCTTAGACCATATAGTACATGGACTGCTATTAGCCCTATGCTTTCAATACAAAATGGGTGGTCACGGATAGAGGGCACTGTAGTCGTGGGTATGTAAATCTCAGGGTAAACTATAAAGTCGTATGAACACCACTCGGATCGCGTAAAGAGTAGCTTTTATGGTAACCGCGTAAAGAGTAGCTTTTATACATCCACAAATAAGAATAGGTTTGCTTTTTTGGCATATCTAGGCGATTAATTCATTGACGTTTGTTAATTTATAGGTTGACAGCCTCAAATCGTGTCTCATCGGATAATTTCGGACAGACTCTTTACCCTGAAACTCATATACCCAGGCGATGTCCTTGGCCATATTTTAGTTACAATTAGCAGTCGATGTACTATATGGTGTAAGGTATAATCTCATATTAAATATAACTCTCGCCAGGAAAGATTGCCGGTCACAGCACACCTTGTGTCAATTTATAATCTATGTTTTTTTTAAGATGCGAGCGATTCCGGGATAGGATCGTGCCAATGTGGAACGAAAAGACTTTTCGTTCTACATTGGCACGAACCTATCCCGGAAGTCGCTCAGATCTTTAGAAAAACACAGATTGTAGACCGGCATCAAGTGTTCTGTGACCGGCAATCTTTCCTGGCGAGAGGTTTAGGACCATAATCATGTTATCATTGAAATTTTGGAAAAATCAACGTTGAAGTTGACACATAAATTTTAAAAATTTTTTCTTTTAGTGAAACTAAAATTTTTAAAGTATGGCATCAGAACAAACTGATAAGGCATTGTTTCGAATGTATATTTACCTGGAGAGTGTAGTGGATATTAAATGAGTGTTTTAGAAATGATGTCATTATGGCTGTGGATCACCGTCGAGCTATAGACAGAGACCCCAAACTACACATAGGTTTAAATCCATTATTTTTATCAATGAGACAAGAATTGCACACCTTGAAATTGTTAAATACAAAAGTAAGAAAACAAATAAAAACTGCGCTATAGATTTTTATTTTAGAACAGAAAAGATAGGTTGAGAAAACTGTTTATCAATGATTACCTTCAAGAAGAAAAGGAGCTTCGACAGATAGGGTTGGCATATATTAATACACAAATATAAATGATTAATTTGTAATATGAATAATATGTACATCCTTGAATGGTACTGTTTTCTTTACAGCTTAATTTTAGAGACAATGATGTCATTTACCTATACCAGCATACAGTGGTAGATATCAATTTATCCAAATAAATGTCAAAGCTTTTCTTTATCCTTCTGAAGAAAATTTGGCTCTATAACACCACTGTTTAGGAACATTTTTTGCTCAAAGTTAAAGTATAATAAAATTTCTAAATTATTGTGAAGTGTTTTTAATGGGACAGCAATTGGTACCTATTTAAATTCTGTACAAAGGTAATTTTCCTGAATATTCTCACTTCAAGGTAGTGTTAAAATAGATTTTTTAAATCAGCAGAATCTTACTGTTTCAATCTAACCGATGCTTTTACATCTTCGTCATCGTTTGTTGCATCCTGAACATCGGTGCTCTTTACGTAGGATGGCCCAGACTCCCCTTTTACATACTCTTCAGTTATATTGACAGATGTTATTTCTGAACCAGGTACTTCAAACATCGGTTCCAATAGTAGGGTTTCCTGGAAGTAAATCATTTATCTTTAATAATGTTTAAGATAAGAAAGTATGATAATTTCTGACCAGTATTTATTACTTTTTAAAATTGAAACGTACTAGTGATTATATAAAATTACACAGCGATGCCAGAAACGAGAAGAGACACATCCATGAGACTGAATCTTTATTTTATAATTTATTATGTGGACAATGGGAGTTGAAGGAAATAGATGTGAACAAAACATGTGAACACGCAAATCAGTGGGTTAGATCTTTTAAAATAAACCCCTAAAGTGGATCAATAAAAGCGACAGAGAACCTTGGTGTTGGATGTGACCCATTTTGTTACATGTGGTATACATGCTGATTCAAATTCGAGGGCCACCATGGGGATAAGAGATAGGTAGGTAGTTTAAATTTGGCAAAGTTGCGTATTTTGACGATTAACAAAATGCAGTTTTGTAACTGAAAAAACTCCCACTACTTCTGGAGATATCCGGAAAAAAAACGATTTTTGCAAAATGGTTTTTATTTTTTACCGAAGTTATTAAAAAAGATATTTCAAAATAAATGACATTATTATGGCCAGTTTTTTTCCCTCTACAAGATGCTAGTTTTAAATTTTAACTCTGACGTTTCGTCTCCGGTTAACCATCATCAACTTTGTTTTTTCTCATGAGTCATTTTTAGCGCATTTCCACAAAAATAAAAAAAAATGCGCTATTGTGGCCACTTTGTCTGTCCATCCGTTGGGATGGGACGCTACTAGTCTTATCTTAAGAGCGTATTGTTCTACTTCTTTCGCTATTTGGTTCGTTATGGTGTCAAGGCTTGCACCAAGGAAGGAATTTTTTCTGCGTTTATTGCTAAAAAAGTTATTGTAAAAAAAACCAAAAAACCATTTTTTACATGTTCCATAATTTTACACTTTTGCCGTTTTTTAACGATCTTAGAGATCGTTTATAATTTTGTATTGCTGTCTGTCATGTGTCTGTTGGTCTGTTCATATGTCTGTCTGTCCATCTATCTGTCCGTGTGAACGATGACTTTGTTTAGAAATGTCTGATCGCTTTGACATCTCCATTAGTTATGAACTGAATTGCATGAAATTCAATGTGGGCATAACTTTAGCTATATAATACGCAATGCCAAAAGTTGGGTCGAATTGATTCAAAATTCACAGTGCCCTTTTCCATTGACTTTATACACTATAGACAAACGGAGAAATAGGGAAAAATGGCAGCCGCTTACTGTAGCGAATATTTGCGTTAAATAGGCAACTTATTAAACACATTGCAATGCACGTACTAATGATGACGTCGAATGGGACGACATATGAACGCAAGGAAATCTATTACGTTTCATTATTTAATTTTTGATTCTGTACATTTTTGTTTGAACTACTCTTAATAGTATTACAAAGACCATTTACAAAATTTAAAGTTCTTAGCAACAATTTAACAGATATGGCCGATGCAATTAAATTAAATTAAACTTTTTTTCACTTGGAATAAAGGAAAAACTAACGCCAGTTTCAAAATTTGGTTTTGCGCATGCGCAGTGCCAACTTTTTTATTTATGAAAGCATTGAAATCAAATTCTTCTTATAAACTGAAATTGAAGTAGCATGTCAAAAATGGATTACACCTATGCAAGGCTATCTTTCATATGTGTGTCCGGAGTTTTACGATTTTAACAGAAGTTGCATCTTAGAAATGAGAAATGAATGCAAGTGGAAATGCGCTTTTTGTAAATCATATGTCATTTGATAGAGCATTTTTTTCTGATTTCAAAAATGTAAATATTGAGATGTCTGTCAAATTCCAAACAAGAAGTTCCGTTAGGATATATTGAGACACGGTTCAAACTACTGTTGCCACGTACCGAGACACCATTCAAAAGCATTCCCATGTAAAACAATAGGTTTATTATTCAACAATGTATTCATTTGCGATGTCAGCAATTAAAACAATAGTAGTCTGTATAGGAAGGAAATGGTGGGTTAGCTTTTTTGCGTCCACACAGGTTTATTTTTTTTTGTCTTTGAGGTCACAGGTCACTTTGCTTTGGGTAGTCAGTTAGGGTGGTGCTACATACCAGGTGAATATTCCCAAACCGAACATAGGAAATTAACATGGGAAAACGGTTTTTTGTAGATAGTTGCTCCCCATGTTAACTTAAAGGGTTTATAATGACACCAATCGAAAGAAGATTTTTTTCCTCGTCTAATGATATACGAATTAGTTTATTTTCAGGTGTATTTCTCATTATTTTCGCTTCATCGGTTTACTCTGCAGCTGAATAACTGTGTAATTTCAGAGGAATACACTTTATAGTACAAAGTTTTAATTTTTTAATAGAATGAGTATTTGGCTCGCTTTTCTACGATATAGAGATTGATGTTTGTTCTTAAACTTGTTGGCACATTTGACCAAAAACGAATTTTACTTAAACCATGCCTTCAAAACAAGTGAACATGAAAAGCAATGTTTCAATGTTTGTGTCACTCCATTTATTAAAAAAAAAGGATGGACACCTACCATTATAGCCCTCAAGCCTCTCGCTCCCGTTTTTCTCTCCATCGCTAATCTCGCAATTGCCTTTAATGATTCGGTACTAAAACACAATTCACATTGATCCATAGCTAATAAACGTTGATACTGTGGAACAATGGCATTTCGCGGCTCCGTCAGAATTCTAACCAAAAGTGCTTCGTTAAGGCTGTGAAAAGGTACAAGTACAGGAAACCGACCCACAAATTCCTAAAAACAGAATTAGTTTACAAAACTGCTGCAGTACCACTCACAGGTATCATTCCAAATTCAATTAAATCTCTTGCTTGGACTTGTCTTAATGCTGTGTCTTTTTCCAAGTTTTCTTCTTCCGCCGATGTGGAAGATTCGTAAAGTGCTTGTTGGGCAACCGCGCGACGTCCTTGACTATTGGAAACTGGCGCGCCAAACCCAAGATACTAAAACAAACCTTTCAACCTTTTGAACTATTTACCTATGTGTAATTTATAATCTTATTAATTAAGAATTTCTAAATCATACATTACAGCAAAAGTTATATGCTTCAAAAAAAATTTAGTAAACCATATTATGCCTATCCCTATATATAGTGTGTCCCAGATCGCACGGGTAGCTTTCTTATTATTAAAGATAGAGAATTGGTTAAATGGACAATGTTTTGCAGTTTTAGATGCTTATTTAAAATTTCCTTGGGGAAATTCAAAATGTCGAATAGGTTCAACGTAAATTCAAAAAAAATTAAATTGGTCATTTCTTTAACTGTCTTATATCATCGAAAGTATAAGAGATATAACAAAAAGTTTTATATAAAAGTTACTAGCCAGGTTGCGGACAGCATTTTCCGTTATGTTAGACGGCCATTTTTTCTTATAACATAAGAAATATAAATTTTTGTAGAAATAATTTACGGTATGAGGGCTTTTTGTACGATATATTTATAAATAGCGGAACCAATGAAAATGAAGTTCTTATAATGTGTCACTGCGCAGTACGTAATCACTCATAAATAACATTTTCCTGCTAACCTACAATTGTGCAGTGTTTATGTTGGCGGTAGTTCTTTTCTTTTTGTCTAAGAGCATAGTAGTGAACTTTGGACATTTTAACACAATGTAAAATAAAAGTGAGGTTAAGACTCCTTCAAACTTATAAGCAAAATTGAACACGCCCAGCACACACCGCAACTTAACTTTGCTATAAAAATGTTTTATACTTATAAACTTATATTATAAGGAAAAATGGCCGTCTAACATAACGGAAAATGCTGTCCGCAACCTGGCTACTGTCTTTGATACACTTCATTTAGATTTGATGTTAAAAAAATTCAAGATGGCTACTTTTGAGGAACTACCTTTCTAAAGTTAAATAGACGCCACATTGGATTTTTCGATTATTTGATAGATTTTTTAATTCAGTTATATCAACGCTTTTATATTTTAATCAAGTAAGGCTGTGAAGAATTAAAAAAAAAACCAAAACAAAATCTATTCGAGACAACAAAACAATCTACTCTACTAATCTGTATACCAGGTTTCATTGTATTGTTTGTGTCAGAGACCCAGACGGACACGCACACTCAGGGCCGGCTCGTCGAATAATATGGGTGATGTAAGCACCAACTTTGCCGCCCGAATGAAAAGGTTTGTTGTTTGTTAATTGGTTCTTTAATATGAGAAACGAGAAAATTAAATAAAATCGTAGAAATCAGAAAATGACGTTTACATAAGCATACAAAAAAACGGAAATTCAAACAAAAATACCAAAACAGTGTAATAATACCTATATTTATATAGGAACTTTTCTTAACTTCTCATTTGCAAAATGGTTAACAATATCATCGAAGCCATGTTAGAACTTAGTTCATGTTCAATGGCCAGATCCGTTAATCTATCCTGTGTCATTGTCGAACATACATAATTTTTCATTATTTTTTTTGGGAAAGAACGTTCTCCACTTGCCACAGTTACTAGAATAGTTAAAAGTATCCTTAAAGATACTACTATATTTGGAATGTTATCACTCAAACTCTATATCACTCGCTCTATATAGTTCAGTATTTCTAAAGGTTTTTTTACCTTTGTGGCTTTGTACGATTCCTTCACTTTCCGGCAGTAATAAGCGAAGCAGAGACTGGTGTATCACCACCGGCGCTAGCTTATTCGTTGTGTATCAAGTACGATAATAGTTATTAATGATACAAGTTCGTTTATCAACGTCATAATGAAACGCGTGTAACATTAAATTCACGAGGCATAGCCGAGTGACTTTAATTACACAAGTTTCATTAATAACGTTCATATAGAAAGTAAGAAAATGTACATTCAAAATTTAATCTACGACGGTCCAAATAGATTTTATTCAGATTTTTGAGTTATCTAAACATTTTCGTAAATTAAAATTCAAAATTATCAAGTGCCCATACTTGTGGATGTCATGGTAATCGCGTTTGTTAATTTTGACGTTTGCTATACAAAATAGTAGTAATGATCATTTGCGTGCTTTTATTAATTCATAAAAATACTAGTGTTTTTATGAATGTCGTAATGACATCCAATTGGTCATGCTAAATCTGTCATAATGACATCATCGTAGATTAAGTAATAAAAAAACTATGCTATGCTATTACATATATCGCAAATTAGTGGCCTGGGAGAGATGGCTATATTTTATAATCGCTTTCAGTCAATGGACATTACCAAGATTTATTATTATACTACATTATTATAATAAAACATGTTTTTTTATTTTTAAATTTCAAAAATGCCGCCCCTAAGATTATGCCGCCTGAGGCGGCTGCCTCGCCGCCTCACCCCACGAGCAGGCCCTCTATATTACATAATAATGATGCTTAAGTGGCAAACCTTCGCAATTCGATATGACAGATATGTAGATCAAAATTTAGAACGATAGGAAAAAACTTATCATCAGCAACTTTATAACTTTCACAAAAAGGAAGGTGCTTGAGGGACTGTAAGTACTTTACACTAAATACAGATTTGGATTGTATTCGAAGAAAGTGGTTAAGAATAATCTAAAAAATCTTAGCTTTAAGTGGGGCTGAACTGAAAACAATAGGACACTCATAGAGGGGAATGAATGATGCTCTAGCCCTCAAGACTTTTTTCTTGTCACGCTTTCCACAGGATTTTTCAAATTAGTTTACCTACTCTATCCAAAGACTTTGTTTCATTACAACTCTGTACAAAATAAGTGCTTACAGAATAATTAAATTAAGGGAGACAGTTATAGTAACGGATACAGTAATATAATAAAATTACTACAGATTAAATTGTGATTTGAACAACAATAACTATATAATTGTATAACTTAATAACCAGTTGTATATGTACCATGTGTCCTATTTTGATTGAGACTGCAGTGTATCTCACCTGCCCTTAAAAGATAAAAGACTTGCGGCGTTCGCTTCCCTTTTTGTGGAACTTTTAAGACCACAAACAGAATCGATCTAGTTACCTTTGTTTTTAAGATACAGGGTGAAACAAAAAGTTTGACTTTTTAGGTTATCATATCAGTACTACCCATGTTAGGTAGAAAAAGAGTAAAAATTGTCTATTTTAGATGTATTCAAGATCAAGTCCTCACCAAGCATTTATTGTCAAAGATGTAAAGAGAAAATAAAGAAAAGCAATATTCAAAGGGAAAAAATTTGTAATATGGTGGAAAATTGTGCAGAATTCAAGGCAGTATGGGCTACTGCATGCAAAGTATGGGTCGAAAACGAAGTAATTTTATATGGTAAAAGAGAAGGCGAGGAAAAAGACGATACTGATTGGAATGAACATGGGAAGACGACACTCTGAATTTAAGGATAGGATTGATAGGCTACAAACACATAGGGGTGGCATGATAACGTTCAGAAAGACGGAAGCGATAATTGAGGAGGGAAAAAACGAGGAAATTGAAGGTAAGAAGAGGTACTTGTTTTTGGCCGCGCTGGAAGGAGCGAAGGACATCGAAAAATCGCGCAATATATACATCAGATACTTGAAAAGTTCACCAAAACAGTGCTAGAGGCAACGGAAAGAAGGATTAAAGTATTTGTCGCGCTTGAGGTAAAAGAATTGTGCACAAAACTAGCGAAATGGGTATGCTATAGGAAAACCATTAACTACTTCCTAGATCGGATGAACATTGAACAAAAAGGGGAACCCACAAATAAAAGACAATCTGAACAATGATGCCAGTCATGGAGATTACAGAAGCCATAGAAGATACAACGATGATCAAATTAGGGAAAAGTTGCGCAATTAAACAGTGTTTTTTAGGAATTATGACGCGTTAACTACCAAGGTCTTCGGCGCCATCTATTTTACTATTATAGCTTCTCAAGTATATTCTCAGCCTTTAGGTACTGTAGAAGATTCGTTATGTTATCTTTGTTTCTTAGATTATCAGGTAAGTTACTAAAGATCGAGTACATTTGACGTAAAGGTGCATATAGTGGACATATACACAATTTGTTCAACAGTGGTACAGTTGGCACACACTGGGGGTGGGTCTTTTGTTAATAAATGCTTGTGTGTTCTTGATGTACATATGCCCTTTTCTTAACCCATGTAGAATGGTCATGTCCTTTCTAGGAGGCGACAGTGGTGCTCTCCACCCATTAATTGTCATTTAAACTATGTTTAGGTCAGTATTGTACTGTTGCCATAATACATTAATTTTGTTTTTCAGATATTTGTTAACGTTGTTAGAACTAGAAATCCAAACCTTCTCTGTTGTCTCATTTCCCCCTTCTATACAGTTATTGTTCTGCTTTAAAGAAAACCAAAAAATTCCCATTACTTCCGAAGGTATACCAGAAAAACTGAAATTGGCCGATTTCGTTTTTATTTTTTCCCGATGTTATTTGAGCAGAAAAATAAAAATTACTTTCATTGCCACTTTTTAAACTCTCCAAGACAGCGTTTAATACAAAGTACATACTATATAGAGTCGTTTTGTTTTGTTAGTTAAATTAAGAAGTGATACAGCAATAGTTTTCCAATTGCTGTCCAAAGTTAGTTATAAAAAAAGTGTTTTGTCAATTTTAAAGTTTGTATCCGAGCTGCCATTACAACAATGTCAATTGTTATAGAACCAGTGCTTGTGATTTAAAAAAAAAAGAAAAAAGGTTGTGTACACGGTTATGCCTTTATGTTAAAATGATTCAGTGAAAAGTGTTTTGTGCTCGGTTTTGTGTATGTCATTTATCGCATCTGTACAAGCGGTTTCAGACCAAAAATTTGCATTATTACAACTAAGTAGTGAGTACTTATTTTTTTTGTATTCGACCGTTTGTAACTGATTGAAATGTTTCAATAAGGCGCTGTTAGCCTTCAGAATATTTGTTTGTTTTGTAGAAAGGTTTATTTTATTTTTGTCATTGAGTTACTATAAGGCGTGGGTGATAATGATTAATGAACATTTACTTTGT